ATATACCTTGAGAAATGAAAATGGAAACAGCATCCTGAAACTAATAGGATGTAGCAAAAACAGTTTTAAGAGGAAAGTTTAGACCACATTAAGAAACAAGAAAAATTTAAAACAACCTAACTTCACACCTCAAGACCTAGAAAAAGAAGGACTAAGGCTTATAGCAGAAGGAAGAAAAAAGATAGGAGCAAAAATAATGAACTAGAGATGATAAAAATGTAGGAAAGATCAATGAAACTAAGAGGTAGTTTATTGAAAAGTTAAACAAAATTGACAAATCTCTAGACTAAAAAAAGGACAAATTAATAAGATTAGAATCGAAAGAAGAGACATTACAACTGTAATACAAGGAATCATAAGAGACTACTGTGAATAATTGTGATCTAACATATTTGGTAACCCAGAAAAAAATTGTGTAAATTCCTAAAAGCATTGTGCAACCTACCAAGACTGAATCATGAAGAAATAGAAAATCTGAATGGACCTATACCTAGTAAGGAGATTAAGTCAGTAATCAGTAATGTCTCAACAGTGGAAAGCCCAGGACTAAATTACTTCACTGGTGAATTCTACCAAACATTTAAAGAAGAATTAATACTAGTCCTTCTCATCCTCTTTCACAAATAAAATGGAAGAGGAGGGGACACCTCTAAACTCATTTTATCAGGCCAGAATTACCATGATAACAAAGCTAGATGAGGACATGACAAGAAAACAAAACTATAGGCTAGTGTCCTTGATGAATATAGATGCAGAAATTCTCAACAAAATACGAGCATTATAAACTCAACAGCACATTAAAAGAACCATACACTATGATCATGAGATTTATTCTTGAGATGCAAGAATGGTTAAATATAAGCAAAAAACAAAACAAAACAAAACAAAAAACAAATATGATACACCACATTAACAGAATGAAGGGTAAAACCACAATCATTTCAATAGATTCAGAAAAAAAATACTTAACGAAATTCAACATCCTTTCATGATTAAAAACTTTCAACAAATAAGGAATAAAAGAAATGTACCTCAACATAATGAAGGCCATCTACAGAAGCCCACAGCTAACATCATACTCGGTGGTGAAAAGCTTAAAGGTTTTCTCTGAGGTTAAGAACAAGACAAGGGTGCCCCCTCTGACCACTTCTGTTCAACATTGTGTGGACGTCCAAGCCAGAGCAGTTAGGCAAGAAAAAGCTAAAGTGTATCACACTCAGAAAGGAAGAATAAAATGGCTTCTGCTTGCAGGTGACGTAGTCTTACATGTATCAAACCTTAAAGTCTCCACTAAAGTGGTTAGAACTAATAAGTGAATTCAGTGAAGCTGCAGGATGCAAACTCAACCTGCAAAAATCAGTTGTACTTCCATACACTAACCGTGAACTACCGACAGGTGAATGAAGAAAAGCAACCCCGTATAGTAGCATAAAAACACAAGCTTTGGAATCCGTTTCACTAGAGAGACGAAGCCCTCTATACTGAAAACTGTGAGACCTTAGTGAGAAAGACGGAAATAAGTGGAATGCTATCTTGTGCTATCGAGTTGGAAGAATTAATATCGGTAAAATGTCCACACTCCCAAGCCTTCTACAGAGTCAGTGCAATCCCTGTGAGAATTCCAATTGCATTTTTCACAGAAATAGGAAAAACAACCCTAAGTTCATTTGGAATCACAAAAGACCCCAAATAGCCAAAGCAATCTTGAGAAAGAACAAAGCTGGAGGCATCTCATTTCCTAATTTCAAATTCTGTTGCAACGCCATAGTAATCAAACAGCATTGTACTGGCGTAAAAGCAGACACTTAGACTAATAGAATAGTGAGGCCATGCACATGCAGTCAGTTAACCTATGACAAGGGTGCCAGCACACAGTGGGGAAAGACAGTCTCTTCAGTAAACGGTGCTGGGAAAGCTGGATCTCCACATGCAGAAAAATGAAAGTGGGTCCCTACCTCTACCATTAAGGAAAATCAACTCAAAATGGTTAAAAGACTTAAACGTAAGACCTGAGACCATAAAACTCCCGGAAGAAAGCAGGGGAACCTCCTTGATACTGGTTATGGCAATGATTTTTTTTTTTTTTTTGCATCTGACAATAAAAGCACAAGCAACAAAAGCAAAAATTGGAAGTGGGACCACGCCACACAGAAAGGCTGTGGCACAGCAGAAGTGCCATCAACAAAATGAAAAGGCAGCTGCGGATGGGAGGACATACTTGCCAGTCATACATCTGATAAGAGGCTAATATCTAAAATATGGAAGGGCCTCACAGAGCTCAAGAAAAAAGAAAACCAATAATTCAATTGGAAAACGGCAGAGGACACGAGGGGACGTCTCTCCCAGAAGACATGCAGACGGCCCCTGGAAAGGCGCTTGGCGGCACTGACATCAGGGAAATGCGTGCAGTCCGGGCCGAGCGTCACCTGGCACCCGTGAGGATGGCTCTGTTACAGAAGACAGTAGATGAGCCCTGGCCGGTTTGGTCCAGTGGATAGAGCATTGGCCTATGGATCAAAGGGTCCTGGGTTTGATTTCAGTCAAGGGCACACACCTTGGTTGCAGGCTTCTCCCCGGGCCGGGCCCTAGTCAGGGCTGGTGCAGGAGGCAACCAATCAATGTGTTTCTCTCACATCGATATTTCTCTCCGCATTTCCCTTTCCCAACTCTCCCTAAAAATCAATGGGAAAATATCCTTGGGCGAGGATTAAAAAAGAGAGGAAAAAAAGCAGTAGATGCCATGCTGGAGAGGATCAGGGAACAGGGACCCTTAGTCCCCACTGTTGATGAGAATGTATATCGGTGCAGCCACTATGGCGGTTCCTCAGAAAATAGTCCTGCCTTTTAACCCAGCAGTCCACTCCCGGTGTGCAGCCAAAGGAAGCGAAATCCCTGTCTCGCAGGATGGCCGCACCTGCGTGCTTATTGCGGCAGCATCCCAACAGCAAGACGTGGGAACAGTGTCAGCACCTGATGGGGTAAAGCAAATGGGGTAAATCTGTGTACAGTGGGGAATTCTTCAGCCTTAAGAAGGGAAGCCTGTGACAGCATAGAGGCACATGGAGGTCCTTATCTATGGGAAATAAGCCAGAGAGAGACAAACACTGCGTAATCTCAGTCATATGTGGAACTGGGGGGCGGGGGGATACAGTCGAACTCAGAACCAATGAGAGAAATGGCGGTTGTCAGAGGCACGGCGTGAAGGAGGAGCATTTGACCATCTCAGTAGATGGAAGAAAACATTTAATCAAATTCTACATTCATTCATGGCTTATTATCTTTTATAGGACAGTACACCTTTGTCTAAATATCAAAACAAACTCACAACAAAATCCTTTCTCTCTGTGTAGCTGCAGTAATGCCAACGGCGAGCGGTGAGGCGGGAGGATGAGAACCGGTGTGGTTTGCCGTTTTGCAGTGAGAGTGCCCCCGTGTGGTGTGTGTGTGATGGTTTGGATGAGAACTGGGAGGATGATGACTGCAGGACACAGCAGCATCTCAACGGACTTTCCCGGCTGCCACTAAGGCAAACTATTCTTACCCACAATGCAGCAGTTTTTACTAAATAAATGCTCCTCCGTCTGTTGCATGCCTTTGGTTTATTCCAAAGTCCTGGAATAATTGTTGTTTTCAATACGTATTTTGTCCAGTTTTATAGTTGTTTTTGGGGGAGAGGATTTGCCAGCCTTTTTACCCACGGTTGCTGGAACTCAATCATTTAATTTTTACTTGAATTGATTTTTCTCTGAGCTCATGTTTTCATGTTTATGGAGTCTGTATTATCTGCCCAGGGTTGCCATGACAAGGTGTTCCAAGCCAGGTGACTTAAAACAACAGAAATGTCTGTTCTCACAGTTCCGAAGGGGGAGACTGAAAGGCAGTGCCGGCAGTGCCGGGCTCCCCGAAGGCTGCGGGGCGTCTGCGCGGTGCCGCCCGGTCTGTGGCCGCATCCCTCCATCTGCCTCTGTGGTCCCAAGACTCTCCCTCGTGTCTGCACTTCGTCTTCCCTGTGTGTGTTCTTTAGTGACTTTAATTAACAGGGACCTAAGTACTTGTATTTTAAAAGCAATAGGAAATTCTCCCTTGCTGCTGTGTGGAGTGCTTTCTCTCTGAAAGATCAACATAAGGATACACATCATCCCCACTTCCCCTCAGTACCCTCCTGGAGGTGCGGAGGGGAGGGTCAAGGAGGTGGAGGGAGAGGAGAAAGGGAGAAAGAAGTCGCAAAAAGAAGGAAAAGCCACCGGACGGAAGAAGCCGAGGCCTGCCTCACACAGTGCGACCTGAATTCTGTGGCGGGGACAGTTCACCCTGGCACCCCGGGGCCTCCGCTCTGCAGGGAGTTTAAGAGCGCGCCCTGTCTGCTTCCTGTAAATGTTTAAGGATGTGTCGTGGTGGTCAGACAAAAGCTTTATTTTTCGTTTGAAGAAAATGCCATTCATTTCAAAACAAGGTTTTTTAAAGCAAAGTTTTACTTGGAGTTGGTACCAACTTAAGGCATCCACTCTTCTATTATCTAATTGTTGTTTTCAATACGTATTTTGTCCAGTTTTATAGTTGTTTTGGGGGGAGAGGATTTGCCAGCCTTTTTACCCACGGTTGCCTACTCTGTCAGTGGAAATAAATACATACTTCCTGCCGTGTAGTAAGATGCTCAGAGCTGAATGGCAATTCTGATTTCTTGATGTAACTCAGTGTTGGTGTACATAAAAGGGGAGGTTCCATTTTAACATTACCACTTTTTATTAAAAATTTGGACAGAATAAGATACCTTATCTTATCCTAAGAAGCCCTTGCTATAGCATTTATTGTATTGGGGCAAATTATAATTCAAGGAATATGTGTGTTCAAAGTTGCCCTGTTTTGAAGCTGATGCATCAGAGAAAAGGAGAGGAGAGCAGTGTGTGGGTGCTGCCGGCGCGTGCAGGGCACGGTTTTGGCAGCAGGTGCCAGGTGACCAGGACCAGCGGGCACAGAGCTGCCTCTTCTGTTTCTTCCAGACCCAGCTCCCTGCAAAGACCAGTTGTCCTTGAAGGAAAAGCCCAGCGCCCCGGCCGGTGTGCAGCCTCCGAAGCCACCAGGCTCCAGGGACACCACCGGGGGCACACCAGCCCCTGCGGTGCCATCCTCCCCTCCTGTAACTGCTGTGCCCCAGGACATGGCCGCACCAACCGCCAGCCCCAGGCCAGAACCAGCGAGGGGCGCTGCCATGCAGGCAGGGGCCCCAGTGACCTCTCAGGGGATGGCCAACGAGTGTGATGCCCCCCAGCCGCCGGCAGAGACTCGTGATGCCCAGCTGGCTGCTAGGCCCCTGGATGTGGCCCCAGGGCCCTGCGCCTCCCCTCCAGAGGCCCCTCTTCACCCCCCAGGCCTCGGGGGGCCCACCTCAGCCAACGAGGCCAACACCCAGATGGATGCCCCGCCAGCTACGGCCCCTGTGCCCAGTGCCTCCAGCGAGACCCCTCAGCCTGCCCTGGGCCAGTCCCTGCCTTCTCTCCCTAACACGGTGGGGGCTGCCAGCCTGGCTGCCCCCCAGCTCCCAAGCCCTCCTCTGGGGCCCAGCACCCTCCCCCAGCCACTGTCAGCCTTGGAGTCGGATGGGGAAGGGCCGCCTCCCAGGGTGGGCTTCGTGGACAGCACCATCAAGAGCCTGGATGAGAAGCTGCGGACCCTGCTCTACCAGGAGCACGTGCCCACCTCCTCAGCCTCAGCCGGGACCCCGGTGGACACGGGAGACCGAGACTTCACCCTGGAGCCCCCGAAAGGGGATCCGCCCTGCACAGAGGCCTCCACGGGGGACCTGGCCCTGCCACCCCAGCTGGTGGTGAGTGCTGGCCTGGCCAGAGGTGCCATCCTGGGCCAGGGGTCTGGGTGGGGGTAGGGCCAGCTCTGGTCTGGCCATGCAGCACCGCCTCCCTCCAGCCGGCGCTCCTGCTCCGAGACCCACCTCTGAGCCCGACCTGCCCAGTGTGTTTTGCAGCAAGTGGCCAGTATGGGGGGCGCAGGGTGTGGTGTGCGAGTCAGGACCCGGCGGCAGAGACTCATATATGTGTGTGGAGCGCCTGGGCCACCCGGCGCCAGCCTGGAGGAGGCAGCGTGGGTGGGGAGAGCTTTACGGTTCAGCTGCAGGGATGGCAGCAAGTGAGGCTCCTGGCTCCTCTCTATTTCTTCCTGCAGCTGGACCAGCCCGGACTGGCACCTGGGCCGGCAGCTGCGCTGGAGCAGGCCAGAGCCTCGCCAGGGACAGGTGATGAGCCCAGTCGCCGACCCGCCCCAGGGCCCGGGGGGCACGGTGCACCCCCACTCTTCCGCCCCAGCGCCTGCGTGGGGACCAGACAGGGCAGAGCCCGTCATGGCGCCTTAGTACGTGCTCATGCGCCAAGAGAAAGTCCACAGTCTGGGCGCAGCGGCCCTCCCTCCGCCTGGCGGGGTGTCAGCCTGTCAGTGCAGCCGGCTGACGGTGCCACCGGCATGGGTTTTGTCGCATGTGGGTCTTGGCTCAGGCCAGACTCCCAACATCAGCTCGCTCTACTCTGTCATTCACTCCTCACAGCAGTTCTGGGAACGCGGCTCAGAAATACCAGGCTGTGCTCCCATTCTATAGAGGGCAAACGGAGGCCGCCTCGGTGACCTTCCCTAGACACAAGCAGCAGGGCCAGGCATCAGCCCTATTGATCTGCACCTTCCAGGGCCTCATGAGGCCTGTTCATACCAGACCCTGTCAGGGAGAGCGGTGACACCATGAGGTGGGAGAGGTGAGAGGGAGGGAGGTGACACCTTTGGGTGGTAGAGGTGAGAGGGAGAGCGGTGACACCTTTGGGTGGTAGAGGTGAGAGGGAGAGCGGTGACACCTTTGGGTGGTAGAGGTGAGAGGGAGAGAGGTGACACCTTTGGGTGGTAGAGGTGAGAGGGAGAGCGGTGACACCTTTGGGTGGTAGAGGTGAGAGGGAGAGTGGTGACACCTTTGGGTGGTAGAGGTGAGAGGGAGGGAGGTGACACCTTTGGGTGGTAGAGGTGAGAGGGAGAGCGGTGACACCTTTGGGTGGTAGAGGTGAGAGGGAGAGCGGTGACACCATGAGGTGGTAGAGGTGAGAGGGAGAGTGGTGACACCTTTGGGTGGTAGAGGTGAGAGGGAGAGCGGTGACACCTTTGGGTGGTAGAGGTGAGAGGGAGAGCGGTGACACCTTTGGGTGGTAGAGGTGAGAGGGAGAGCGGTGACACCTTTGGGTGGTAGAGGTGAGAGGGAGGGAGGTGACACCATCAGGTGGTAGAAGTGAGAGGGAGAGTGGTGACACCATTGGGGGGTAGAGGTGAGAGGGAGAGAGGTGACACCATTGGGGGGGTAGAGGCGGCAGAGACTCATGATGCCCAACTGGCTGCTAGGCCCCTGGATGTGGCCCCAGGGCCCTGCACTTCCCCTCCAGAGGCCCCCCATCACCCTGCAGGCCTCGGGGAGCCCGCCTCAGCCAAGGAGGCCAACCCCCAGATCGATGCCCCGCCAGCTCTGGGCCCTGTGCCCAGTGCATCTGGCGAGACCCCTCAGCCTGCCCTGGGCCAGTCCCTGCCTCCTCTCCCTAACACGGACAGGTGACCATCACTGTGTCGAGGGCCTGCTGAGACCCGAGTGGAATTGGGCTGACACCTGCTTCCTCCCAGGCTCTAGGGCGCCCCCTGTGAAGGCGGGGAGGTTGGGACAGCTGCCCGCTGTGGCGCCTTTTCTCCCACCGTGCCCTCCCTGTGATTCCCTGGCCTGAGCGTGGCCGGCCCTTGTCCTGGCTCTCGCCCGAATGATGGTGTCCCTGTTCCCAGCAGCACCTGTGAGCAGCACACTGGGCCCCGAGGGAGGCCAGGCAGCCTCGGGCTCACCTGCAGCACCCAGGGCCCCTCAGGTAGGTTGTTTTCCGTGATGAGACCGTGAGGGGCTCGGCCGGGTGGTGGAGTTCGCTCTCTCTGGTATTCGTGTGGAATCGTTTCTTTTCCTGTTTCCCAAGGACACCCCCGCGCCCGCCGTCCCCGCACACCTGGAGCCCGCAGACCAGAGCGGCCGGGCCGGCCCCCTCCAGCCCGCTGGTGCCCTGACCTCAGGGTCCCCTCAGAAGCAGCCAGGGCAGCGGGACGGCAGCTCTCCAGCCAAAACCGTGGGCCGGTTCTCCGTGGTCAGCACCCAGGACGAGTGGACCCTGGCCTCCCCCCACAGCCTGCGGTACTCGGCCCCGCCTGACGTGTACCTGGAGGAGGCGCCCCGCAGCCCCGACGTGAAGCTGGCCCTGCGCCGGGCGCAGACGGCCTCCTCCCTCGAGGTCTGCCAGGAGCCCTTGTCCAGCGACTCTGGGGACGAGCGTGCCCCCGGGAGGCCGCCGGCGCTGAGGCCGGGCTCCCTGCCCCGCAGCAGCGGCAGCTCGGCTGGCGACTTCGTGAGGAAGGCCGCCGCCCTCCTGCACAGGTCGGCGGGGGCCGGCACCCCGGGCCCCGAGGCCCCCCGCAGGGCGGGCGTGAAGGTCCCCACCATCAGTGTGACCTCCTTCCACTCCCAGTCGTCATACATAAGCAGTGACAACGACTCGGAGCCCGAGGATGCAGACATCAGGAAGGAGCTGCAGAGTCTGCGAGAGAAGTAGGTCCCGGGCGGTGGCCGCGGAGGCCCAGGCCCTGCCATGCGCCCCAGGGCGTGGGCCGGGTGCCGGTGCCGGGCAGAGCCACGCTGCTGTGCTGTGGGCTTGGCCCCTGGTCTTGGGGCGGTGCCTCTTCCCCCACGGCCGCCCCCTCCTGTGGCCTCAGCAGGACAGCCGGGTGTTGCTCAAACCAGGCCCCTCACCCTGCGTCTGAAGTGCGGCCACCACCTGGTCAGGGCCCCAGCAAGCTGCACCCTGGCCTCCTGGGCAGGAGGACCCCATGTGGTTGCTACCGTGGGAGAAAGCTGAGGGCGGAGAGCTCTGGGGCGGACCCAGGAGCTGCCCACAGGCCCAGGAGCCTAACCAGCCTCTCCTGCTCCTCCCTCTGGGTGGGCAGGCAGGGCTGTGCCTGCAGGGAGGGGGCAGGAGAGCTTGCCTGCCCTGCCCTGCCCTGGCCCCTGGCCCCCTCCCCCCACCCCTTGAGGGGCCAGCCCCTCCCTTCCCCACCCCCTCATCCCTGCCCTGGGCACCCGATACTTGAGCTCCCTCCCCTGGTGCCTTGTGTCAGCCCCCGGACACCCTGTGGGGAGACAGTGCCTGCCTTCCCACCTGCACTGGCAGTTCTTAGAGCCCCAGGGCCCCATAATCTGAGAGGCCCACTTTGGGCAGGACTTGGGGAGCGTGCGGGTCTCCCCCAAGTCCTGAATCAGGCCCTCCCAGCTGACCAGGCATCCCTCCCCCACTCCAGCCAGCTTCCCCCTGGAAACTTCACACTCTGTGAATCTAATCTGATGCAATAGCACTTTTCTGTTTAGAGAATCATTTTTCTAAAACAAATCTGGCAGGCGCGGAAGACGTAATAGGAGAAATTAGAACTTTTTTCCTTCTGCCTAACCGTGAGAACACCTATTTCCCTGCCACACACCAAGGAGGTGGGCAAGGATGCCCACAGCCAGGCTTGTCCACCTGTGCGGCCTGCCAGGTCCGCTCTGCCCCGTGGGGGTGGTGCCCGAGCTGGGAGCCCCTGGCAGGGAGGGGCTGCAGCCAGGGCCTCAGATCCCTGGCTGACCACATGTCTCCACTCGCCCCTGCCGTGCCCTCTGAGAGACCCTGGTGCTAGCTCCCTGTGGGGAGGAGAAAACAGCTCGTAAACGAGGCACCTCCCAGTTCTGAGTGCTGGTTAATCACTGGATTATGTACAGGGTTTATATTGTGAGCATAAATGTGTGAAGGTGTCCATACCCCAGCCTCCCCCCACACCAGAAAAACCAAAACAAACAGCCCAGCCTGTTCCAAGCCTGGAGGGAACCGCGTCTCTGCAGGCTGGTCAGGGCCCCTTGAGTCCCACGTGGTTGAGATGTAAACAGGAAGATGTTGGAATAAATGCCGGCTCCTTTGAGCAGCCGCACTGCCCACGCTCCCGTCCGCCCGGGGCCCGGGAGGCCCACCCAGCCCTCCTCTGCTCCCCCCTGCAGGCACCTGCGGGAGATCTCAGAGCTGCAGAGCCAGCAGAAGCGAGAGATCGAAGCCCTGTACCGCCGCCTGGGCAGGACGCTGCCCCCCAACCTGGGGCTCTTGCACACGGCCCCCCCTGCCGGCCGCCGGAGGAAGGCCAGCAGGAGCAAGCTGAAGGCTGGGAGGCTGCTGACTCCACTGGTGCAGCAGCTCAAGGTCGTGGCCTCCAGCACAGGTCGGCCCTGTGCCCTGCTGGGGGCTGGGCTGGGGGCTGGGCAGGTGGAGGCAGGCACCCAGACGTGGAGGGGCGCTTCTTCACCCCCATGCGAGCGGGCCATAGGGCTGTGGCGGGCTGGGCCCCTATGCTGTGGCCAGAGGAAAGGACCCAGCCCGGGAGTTGCAGCGAGGAAGGGGGGGGGCGGGGGGGCTCGGGCTCTCCAGAGCAGGGGCTGCTCTTCCCCATGGGCTCCGCCCCGCAGGGTGCTGCCAGGACGGGGCTGTTTCCTGGCCCTTTTCTTAGACATATGTCACCTGCTGACAGTGGGGGCTGAGCAGCTGCCTTGGGGGAGGGGAAGGGAGGTGGGGCTCCAGCCCTTGCCCACAACCCCCAGCACTGAGGTTGCCCGCGGACCCTGAGCCCTTGCACCCTGGGGTGGAGACCCAGTGAGTTGAAACGCTCGGTCACGCCAGGTGGGAAGCTGGCCACAGGCCCTCCCTCTTGGCATTGAATGGCACCTGCAGGGTGTGGGGCACAGGTACAGAGCCACAGGCCCCAGGCCCGCCTGAGAGCCGACAGAGTGAGGAGGCTCGCTGGCCCGAGCAGCCAGGGCCTCCGGAGCTGCCATGTCCTTCCCATGCGTTGGCGTGAGGCAAGCCCGGTCGGTGCTGTCGACCAGTGGAGACTGGTCATTCCTTTAATCCTCCCACCTCGCCCACGTGGCTCACCAGCCCCTGCAGGGACTCAGCTTCCCCAAGGTCACCCAGCAACAAGCAGAGAGGACAGCTGCGCACCGTGCTGGCCGGCTGCCCTCGGCACCTCATCGTGCCTGTCCCCTTCTCCCCACTCAGGTCACTTGTCAGACTGCAGCCGCGCCCCTCTTGCCCAGGACCCCGCCAGGGCCGGGGCAGGGCCCGCCGCAGCGGCAGACTCCTGTGGGAAGGCAGTGCAGACCCAGCAGCCTTGCTCCGTGCGGGCCTCCTTGTCTGCAGACATCTGCTCCGGCTTAGCCAGTGACGGGGGCGGAGCGCACGGCCCAGGTGATTCCCAGCTTGCCGCCTCTGAGCATGTGCTAGCCGCGCAGGCCGTGTGGTGTAGAGGGGACGTGCGCTGTGGCCAAGGCTGCCGACAGCTTCTGAAAGACGTGATCCTAGAGGTAGCCTTTGAATGAAAAGAGTGGGTGGCCACGCATCAAGGCTTTAAGTGGCTCCGAGGGAGGCATGCTTGGCTAGAGCAGCCTGGGGAGGGACCACAGGTCAGACGTGGCCTCAGTCTGCTGTGTGGTCTGTGCCGGGTGCAGGTGCCGCCCGCTCTGCCCTGCCCGTTCCCTGCCACACATGGGTCCAGAAGGGCCGCTGGGGGCCCAGGGCGCAGCTCTGGAGATGGGAGTTGGGCCTTGAGGTGGAATGGCCGTGGACACAGCAGCTGTGCGATGAGGCGCTTCTCCCACGCCATCTCTGTGCAGAGGCGTGGGGACCACAGCCCCTCCGGCCCCTGCCCTGCCCCGCACGCGCTCCTGGGTCTGCCTCTCTTCCGCTCCAGCGCCTCCTCCTTTCCATTATGTGGTCAGTGGCTGTGGTCCTCGGGGCTGGGCTAGGTGCAGCCGTGGATGCTAAGTGACGAGGCTGAGTGGCTGGTGGTGCAGGAGGCAGCCCGAGACTGTACTTGATGCCTGTCTCTCTGTTCTCTTCCCTCTATATTCACTTGCAGGCTGGACGGTTTACCACCCAACGTCTGAGAGAGTGACCCATAAGTCTAGTAGCAAACCTCGCGCTCGATTCCTCAGTGGACCCGTGTCTGTGTCCATCTGTCTGTATTTGTTCTTTTGTATTTTATCACCTCCCGGCCCTTGGTTCTCCCTCCCCTCTCCCTGTCTCCATCACCTTCCATATGCTTTATAGGAGCCTCCCCTACACCACTGACCTCCTTTATTTAATATCGAACAGAGCCTCGTCCACACCCACCCGCCTGGCCCCAGAAAGCACGGTGCATGCTCGCGGCTCCTGCCGGCACCGGCGCACGTGCAGCGGCCGCCTGAGCCCACGCAGACCCGCCCCGCCCCGCCCCAGGCCGCTCTGCACTTCTCTTGTCACTTTGTATTTTTTTAACGTTGGACATACTTTTATTTCTGTTGCGATTGTGGCAAATACACACTGTCCCCAGTTCCAGCAACAACAAGACAGCCCGGCCTTCTCTCCATGCATGCATGACGTGCTTCACACGTGTCTGGACTTTGAAGACATGCATGTGAGCGAGATAGTGCCGGCAGGTCACCGTACAAGGCCCGTGTCACAACATCCAGTAACCCCCACCCCCCTGCATGCAGACATGCTGAGCGCGCACGCCAGCTGGGACACCCAGCCCCTCCCCTCTCGCCCCAGAACCTCCCAGCCCCTCTGGGGTCTCTAGCGCCTGCACTGCACCTGGTGACTCCCCTCGCCTCAGGGCCAGCGAGGCAGCCGGCTGTGCAGCCCACAAGCCCCGTGACAGCACTCAGTCCCAGCCGCCCACACCCTGGTGCCCTCCTGCGACCAGGATGTGTGCCCAGGAATGGGGTACCTGCTCAGGGCTCTCCCAAATTGTTTCTTATTCCTCAGATGGATTGGCAAGTGAATCAAAAGCTGTGGGCTTTTAGATTTTTGTTTTTAACAGGAAAATTAAGCTTTTTGCCAATTAGATTGGACATGCTGGTTTGGGGCGTGCGGTCTTTTGCTTGTACAATAAAGATACATTGTGCTTGCTGGGACCTGAGGCCACGCCCACGGGAGGCACCCATCCCCCCCCAGAGGGCACGGCTCCTCCCAGGCAGCGGGCGGGTCGCGGGCGGGGACCAGGGAGCAGGGCCCAGGGACTGCCCGCCGCTCCTTGTTCAGGACAGATGCCGGTTCAGCTTGGGGGGCTCAGGCTGCTGGTCAGATGGGGGCCAGCTCTGTCACTCCTCTGCCTTGTGCGTGGCTGCCCGGGAGCTGTGGTGTGAGCACACCTGGGTTCCCAGGCATTTCTGTGGGAAGTACCTGCCAGCAGGGGCCTCCCTGGGGCCTGGAGGAAAGCCAGCCTGTGAGCAGCACCAGCCTCAGGCCATCACCACTTTCCCTGCAGAGCCACCTGGTTCTGCTTTTCTCTTTTAGGGTTTTCTCTTTTTTCACTATTACTTATTGTTCCAACATAAAAGACAAGTTTGAGGCCCAGCAGGGACAAGGAGATTAGGCTTTGCTTCTGCCCTGGCCCGGAGGAAAGGAAGGTGTGAGGCACAGCTTGGCGCAGACCCACCTGGCCAGTGGTGGGTTTCAGGTGGCACCCGCTGCCTGGTTAGCCTGCTCCCTCGGGTGCTGGGAAGGCGATGACCCTGCTGTTTGCACAGCCCATCCGGCTCTCAGGCCGTGAAGTGGCCCGCTGGCTCTGAGGCTGTGGTGAGCAGTGTGCAGCCTGCACTGGGCCCTCTTGTCTGGGGCATGGAGCCGTGAGCGCCCCTGCCACACTGCTGGGGCTGGAACACCCAGGGCCCCTCCCTTCGGTCCTGGTACCCACCCGGCCCTCGGCTCCTGGAGCTCCTGTCTGCAGGTGCCTGGTGCCCCAGGGGCACACGACAGGGGCGGGACAGGGTCTGGGAGGGCTGAGAGGTTGGCCATGGGGAGGCGGAGCGGAGCTGGAGTCAGGGTTGCAAGCCTGGCCTAGGCCGGAGGGAAAGCAGAGAATGGTCTCGGTTCCCCCTCCTGAAAGGAACAAGAGACAGTCAACTCTGTGTAAAGTTCTGAAGCACAGAGGCCCCAGGTCCCCTAGGACTCAGAGATGAGAGAGGTGGCTAATGGGTGGTGGCCCCGCGGAGCTGAGGGCAGTGCCAGGCGCTGGGAGGCCTGGGCCGAGAGCAAGGTGGGCACAGCTTCAGCAGCTCAGGTGGGCGGCCCTGAGCAGGGCAGACCCTGCTGCCGTCGAGCTGCTGCTCATCCTGCAGGCCCCCTGCCCAGGTGAACGGCTTGGGGCGGCCGGAGCCGGTTGTGGAAGTGACCGTGTCCTGGTGTCCTGTTGTTAGGGAGGGGTCCTGGCTGTTCCAGCCCCAGCAGAGCGGCAGGGGCGCTCACGGCTCCATGCCCCAGACAGGAGGGCCCAGTGCAGGCCCCACGCTCCTCATTGGCCCTCCTGCCTCGGCTCCCCCAGACCAGAGGCAGGGCTCACGTCCTCCGGGACTCGCTCTGCACACGGACCAGCGTGTGCTCCGTGCCTTTGGCCACGTGCCCGGTGTCCAGGCTGCAGCAAGTTTGTCTCTGGGGCCCGTGGCCCCTGTGCAGACCCCGAGGCCCGCCTGAGCCTGGTGTGTTCCCCCTGCCCTCCCTGTGAGGACCTGCTGCGGTGGGTGTGGGAGCGGGCCCAGGGGGACGGAGGAGGAGAGCCCACATGCGGCCCCCGCACCTTCACTCGCGCAGGTCCGACTGGTGAGCGCTGGCCCGCAGGCTGGCTGAGGGGCTGACCCCTGTGCTTGGGCCTGTGTGTCCCAGACGGGGCTGCTGGGTGAAGCCCCGGGGCAGAGCCGACGCACCTGCTGCCCAGTGTCTGCTCCACAAACCAGTTTTGGCCCTTTCCTCAGCTTGAGAAGTTGGTGGCTCAGTACATACTAGTAGACGCCCAGAGCAGTACCTTGGTGCTCTCCCATTTTCCTCTCTGCAGAACCGAGTGCGCACTGCCGCTGTCGGGGTGCACCACCCCTCAGCGACGGGCCTCATCATGGGGTGGGGAGCCCCGCGGGGCCCGGCCCCGTGGCAGCATGTGAGCACATGGCAGAGGCAGGTGTGGGTGTCTGTGGGCCTGGCCCATTTATAAGTAGCAGGCACCCTCACGTTGGAGGCATTGCCTGGCAGCCAGCCAGAGGCCGGGGAGGTGGGGGCAGGTGCCCAGCAGGCACCCAGCCGGCTGGCTGTCCACACCAGGAGCAGCCCCTGTGCCTGTGCAGGGTGAATGTGGGGCGAAGGCGGGCCGCTCGGCACCCCTGCAGCCGTGAGCCGCATAGGACAGACTGCACGGCCTCCGTGCTGCCCTCAGGCAGGAGAGCAGCTGTCCCACCCACGTGGACACTCCCGAGTGTTCTGGGGCCTGGAAGCTGGCTCGTCTCTTCCCAGGGCCTTGGCTGAGGACAGAGTCCTGTCGGGGACACCCTACTCCACAGGAAACTAGGGGCGGGTGGGAGCTGGTCTGCTATTCTCCCTTGTGCCCCCGAGGCCTCCTCGGGCTTCCTTGTGGGGCCTGTGTCAGCCCCGTGTGGTTCCTGGTGCCCTGCATTGCTACCGAGGCCTTGTGGGTGGGAGCCAGGTGTACCGCAGTGCAGGGTCCAGTCGCTTCGGTGAGCATCCAGGGCAGGCGTGGGCAGGCGCAGACCCTGGGAGAGGCCGAAGGGGCAGGGCTGTGCGCTCCAGCACACGGTGGCTGCTCTGCCTCAGCCCGGGGCGTGAGCGCGGAGCATGGCCGGACAGGGCTGCTTTGTGTTTGAAGGTCAGCGGAGGGCCTGGAGCCACTGTGCTCTGGCTTTCGCCGGCCTGTCGGTGTGGGGTGGGGCCTGCACGGCTCTGCACCCTGAGCAGTGTTCTGGTGGCCGCCCCGGCCCTGGGTTTCCGGTGAGGTCTGTGTGGGCTTCCATTGAGGGCCCTCTGGGGGTCTGAGCAGGCACCTGGCGTGGTGGCCGTCTCACGGGAGGACAGGAGCCAGCCCTGCCCCAGAACTCCAGCCCGGTGGCCCGGCGGCCCGCTCAGAACTCGGTTCGGCTGGAGACCCGGCTGGCGTTTGTCCCATGTTCTGGGTCGCCGGTTGGGGCCTGCTGCGGTCTTGACGCTGAGGCTCCCACTCCAAGAGCGTGACGGGGAGCGTGCAGATAGGCTCTGGGTGGCCAGCGCCTGCGGCCCGGAGGCCCGTGGGGAGCACAGATGCCCAGGCCCTTCAAGGCCCACCCCCCGGGGTGGGTCTGGGTGCTGCTTGTCCCTTTGCTTTATGTGCTCGTTAGAGACGGCAGGATGGACTGAAGAACAGGCGGATGGGAGCCCGGTGGCTGTCCTGCCCTCACTCAGGGCGCGTGGCTTGCCTTCCTGGGCTCGTGCTGGGGGCTGGGGGCTGCAGCGCCTCCGGGAGCAGCATGGTTGTGCGCAGGGCCTGCTGCTGTGAGGGCCGTGGGCAGGAACCCAGACCCTCCGCTGGCGCAGCCTTGCTGAGTGACCTTGGGGATGCCGAGCCTCCTGCCTGTCCCACCTCAGCTCCTGACTCCCGGAGTCCCTCCCGCTCTGTCAGGACCCGCCCACACTGAGGTCAGGCTCTGGGACCCCAGGGTCGGCAGCCTGGGGTGGGGCCTGGCCCTGCCTGCTGGGTAGGAGATACCAGACAAGACCCAGTGGAAGAGAATCGTCCCTGCCTCTCCCACCCTGGACAGGACCCTGCCTTCCCTCCTGCCCGCGCTGGCCTCAGCCCGCAAAGCAATGTATCTTTTTGCACTTGGAAAACCCCATGGCCCGAGGGCCAGGTCGGCTCCAGAGCCAGTGGCCAGGGGCTCCCAGAGCCCTACCTTAGAGCCAGGTGGTGAGCTCTGCCCTTTTCTTGGTTTGGTTTTCTTTTCTTTTCCTTTTTGGAATATGTTTCTAGAGATACACACTCTTCTCTCTGAACGTGGGCTTGGCCTGCCCCTCCGCCCTCAGCGAGCGTGCGGAGCTGCACCCCGAGCCAGGGGCACCCTGAGCCCGAGGCCGTCCTGCTCCGGCCTGCTGGCCACCACTCCTCCTCGCACACCGATGACCTTCGCTTAGAGTGTGGCTTGTCCCGTGCTACTGTCTGGCCTAACCCTGTGGTCTGTGTCGTTCTCTCTCCCTTGCAGGGTCTGCCTTGAAGCGTCTCTGTCTAGGCAAAGAGCACAGCAGTCGTAATTATCGGTTTTTCACTCGTCCGCTCTCCATCGCATGGCCTTTCTTGTGGCTAGTGCCCCTTGGCTTCCGCGGCCGCCTGGAACCACAGGGCTGGCGGGCAGGCAGGCGTGGGCCTGCACTGTGCCCGCCCTCTGTGAGCACCACTCACCACTGCCTGGTGGGGCAGCCACTGGCGGTGCCCCTTGGCGTCTCCATGGGTCTGAGACTGTGCCTTCCAGCCAGTTCCCATCTAACAGGCTGGAGCAGCAGACATTACCAACCTCTGATTGGCTCCTTTCCAAAACCGCAGAGAGTATTTCCGTGAGGCGCTAAGGATAGCGCCAGAGGAGGGTGCGGGGCAGGGCGAGACCAGCCTACCTGGGCTGCCCGCTGCTCATCTCACGCCGTTTTTTTTTTTTGTTTTTTTTCTTTTTTCTTTTCTGGCTGAAACATTCATGTAGATACAGCTCGTGTGTAGAATCTCATTACTAACGTATAACTGTCGTGTCTGCTTTTTGTCGCTAAACACTAAAGTAGACTACATTTTGCAATAGCTTGTTTGAAGAGATGGTTGTTAGGTTATTTTTAAATGCAGAACTTTAATAAAGTGGCCTATTCAAAATTGCCAACCAGAAATTATATGTTGAAGAAAGGGAGGGCACACCATTTTTTTAAAGTAAAACACCCTGTTTGGGTCATTTAAAATACACCTTCTAGTGCCATGGGGAGGGCCGTGTCTCTGACCAGCTCTCCGAGCCTCGGCCGGGCCTCCCGCTCCAGCTGCTGGTGGCAGCCTCAGGTGGCTCCCAGGTGGCGGGCCCATTGCGGGTGGAAAGCTCTAGGCTTGTGCCCTTGATCAGCACCTCCCCCAATGCTCTGGCGAGGAGAGGTGCAATTTCTGTGTCTTAAATTCAAACACCAGGCCACTGAAGTCACAGGAATGCCAGCGATCCACCCACAGCAGCAGCTGTGTGCCCTGAGCAGCCCCTTGGCATCCTAATGACAGAGCTGAGCGTGGAGGGCCCCAACAGGCTGCCTCCCATCTGCGCCAGGAGTTTCCTTCCCGAGCTCTCCCGGGTCTGGCAGGCCAGGCAGCACGGGCACAGAGTGGATGCTGCCTGAGGCTGCGGCAGCAGGCCCTGCCCCTGCTGGTTGATGAGGGGGTGACAGCCCAGGCCCCTGTGGCCTGCGGAAGCACTTCACCACGCCCACAATGGGCACGTGGGCTCCTAATCAGACCATCTCCTGAAGCAAGCTGTTGCCTGGCCTGCGCGAGACCATTGAGTGATGCAGCTGGCCCTGTTGCTGGTGGCGAGGCCGCCAACGCTGCCTGTGTGTGCCTCCCCAGGGTCCTCCACCAGCAGCCTGGCCCCAGGTCCTGAGCCGGGCCCTCCCGCTGCCCTGCACGCCCAAGCGCAGGTGAACAACAGCAACAACAAGAAGGGCACGTTCACGGATGACCTGCACAGACTGGTGGACCAGTGGGCCAGCCAGACGGCGGGGGCTCCGCAGCTGAAGCCGTCACTCAACCAGCTGAAGCAGACGCAGAAGCTGCACGACATGGAGGCGACAGCTGGCTGGCCCCCCGCCTCCGGCGAGATTCGGGCTGTAAGTGGGGCGTGCCGGGGTCAAGGGGACAGGATGGCTGCCGGGCTGGGACCTCAGATTTCAGCAGAGCAGCAGCTTGCAGCCTGGCATGGGCACATCTAGGTGGGCTGCTCCGGGTCTGGTGACCTCAGGCTAGAGGTGTAGGGGGCCTGCACACTGCCCTCAGGGGCACCCCTTGTTGGGCTCGGGTATACCCGTAGCAGGTGGGCAGGAGCCGGGAGCTGTTGGCTGACCTTGTCACGTGATGCGTTCCTGTGTCGGGGCTGTGTGTCTGCCCTGCCGGAGGAGCGCTCCCTCTTCGTAGTGTTCCCGGGGAGTTTGTGCAAGATGTGCTCTTTCTGAAATGTTTAGCAAAGTTCGCTGGGGACACTGTCTGGGCTGGAAGTTCTTTTTTGAGTGTGGGAAGGTTCTCCTATGACGTTTTATTTTGAAAAATTTCAAACACATGGGACAGTTTAACATTCTGCAGTGACCTCCCGTGTGCCTCCTGCCTGCACGCTGTGATTGACTTTTTGCTGTTTTTTATCCCAGGCCTCCATCCCATGAGGGTAAGGTTTCGTTCATGGATTCCATTTCTTTTATAGTTTTAGTACCATGTGGAGTTTCTCTTTCTGTTAAACTCTGCTTTTCTAGCAGTTGGTACTTCTCTAAATTTATCGAAGTTTTCAATTTAATTGGCATTTAAGTTCATAACCTTTCCCCCGGTCTGCAGCAAGGCAGCTGTGCACACTCCCTTTCTGTAGGGCAGTGATGGCGAACCTATGACACGCGTGTCAGAGGTGACACGCGAACTCATTTTTTTGGTTGGTTTTTCTTTGTTAAATGGCATTTAAATATATAAAATAAATATGAAAAATATATGTCTTTGTTTTACTATGGTTGCAAATATCAAAAAATTTCTATATGTGACACGGCACCAGAGTTAAGTTAGGGTTTTTCAAAATGCTGACACACCGAGCTCAAAAGGTTTGCCATCACTGCTGTAGGGCTTATGAACGGCATTCGCCTTTTCAAGGAACTCTCCTTGGCTCTGATGATATTCATTATTGTATGTTTCATGAATTTCTTCCTTTTATTATTTCTTTCCTTCTATCTTTCGGTTGTCATTTTTGTTCTAGAAAGTTTCTTGAGATGTGCAGTTCATTGATTTGCAGCCTTTTTCCTCTTATAGCACAGGCTTTCGGCTGCGAAATTCCCTCTAATTATTTTAGCTGCAGCCCCAAGTAGCATTTTCTTTGACCTTCAGTTCAAAATATTTGCAATTTCCACAATGATTTTAAATGCTATAGTTATTAATTTCCTCGTGATCTTTGTATTAACCATTTATTTGTTTTGTTTTGTTTTGTTGGGTTTTTTTGCCTAATTGAACTGATGAGGTCAAACTTTAGTGATTTCAGTTTGTTAAACATTGCGGGGCTGGCTGTCTGACCCAGGCTGTCAGTGTTGGTCACTGCTGCGTGGGGGACGGAGGCCCGCCCCTTCCACCCCCTCAGAGGGCCACTCCCAGCCCGAGCCTCGCTTACTTCTCTCCTGGCGCCGGCAGCACCTCCTGGCAGGCACACCTCTGTTAGTCTGACTCCTCATGTCCATTCTTCCTTATTCTGCAGCAGAGCTGAGACCCTTACCGTGGCCCCAGGCCCTGCGGAGCCCACACCTGGACAGGCCGTCCGCTCCGCCGCTGGCCCCACGCTGCTCAGCCTGGGCCCAGCCTCGCCCTCCCTCAGCTGCCAATCCTGCTGCTCAGATGGCTGAGATTCTTACTAATGGTTTTGTTTGTTTCTTTCTTTATTATTTTTTGTGATAAATCTAAATAACAAAATTTACCAATTTAATCATTTTGAGTGTGTGATTCAGCAGCATTAAGAATATTCAGCCCTAACCGGTTTGGCTCAGTGGATAGAGCATCGGCCCACAGACTGAAAGGTCCCAGGTTCGAGTCCGGTCGAGGGCATGTACCTTGGTTGCAGGCACCTCCACAGTGGGAGGTGTGCAGGAGGCAGCTGATCGATGTTTCTTTCTCATCGATGTTTCTAACTCTCTCTCCCTCTCCCTTCTTTTCTGTGGAAAATCAATAAAATATATTTTTAAAAAAAGAATATTCACAATGCTGTACAGCCATCACACTGTCCACATCTAGACCATGTTCATTATGAGCCAGACAGAAGCGGCTCATCAGGAATAGCCCTGCTCCAGGCCTCTGGCTGCCCAGCCCCTAACTCCCCTTCTGCTTCCTGCTTCCTGCTTCCTGCTTCCTTGCATGCGCACGGCTGGTACCTCATGGACGTGGAGCCACATGGCATTGTCCTTTCCATCTGGCTTTCTCCACTCCGTGTCTTCAAGGTGCATGCGTGTTTAGCATGTTTTAGAACTTCATTCCTTCCCCTAATTTTTAAAGATTGTGGTGAAATACATGTAACAACATTTGCCATCTTAATCATTTTTAAGTGCTAGTTCATTGGCATTAAATACATTAATATTGTTGTTCAACCATCACCACCATCCCTCTCCAAAATTGGTTTATCTGGCACAACTGAAATTCTGTACCCATTGAAAATAGCTCTTTATAGGAGCCCCGCCCCTGGCACCCACCGTCTACCTTCTGTCTTTATGAATCTGGCTATTCTAGGTCCAGTCCCCATATAAGTGGAATCATACAGTGTTTATCATTTTATAACTGGCTGATTTTATCTTGCATAATGCTCTCAAGGTTCATCTATATTGTAGTATGTGTCAGAATGTCCTTCCTTTTTAAGGCTGAATAATACTCCATGTGTATATACCACATTTCGTTTATTCATTGATCCATCCATGGACACTTGGATTGCTTCTGCCTTTTAGCTATTTTGAATAATGCTGCTATGAACATGTTTGAGACCCTGCTTTGAGTTCTTTGGGGCATATACCCAGCAAGGGAATCACTAGATCACATGGTAATTCTATTTTTAATTTTTTGAGGAATTGCCAAATTGTTTTTCACGGTGGTTGAACCATTTTATGTTCCACCAAACATACACAGAGGTTCCAGTTTCTCCTCATTTTTGTCAATAGTTTCTATAGTCTTCTTTTTTAAATGGTAGCCATCCTAATGGGTACGAAGTGTAGTATCTCATTGTAGCTTTAATTTGTATTTCTGTAATGATTAGTCATGTTGAAATGTTTTCATGTGCTTATTGGCCATTTCTATATCTTCTTTGGAAAAATAACAATGCAAGTCCTTTACCCATTTTAAAATAGCATTGCTTTCTTTGTTGTTGAGTTTTAGGAGTTCTGTATTCTGGAGATTAATACCTTACCAGACATATGCTTTGCAAGTATTTTGTGTCATTGTGTGGGTTGCTTTTTTACTCTGTCAATAGTGCCTTGTGATGCACAAAAGTTTTTAATTTTCATGAAGACCAATTTATCTATTTTTTTCTTTTGTTGCCTCTGTCTTTGGTGTCATATCCAAGGAATCATTGCCAAATCCAATGTCATGAAGATTCCCCTATGATTCCTTCTAGGAGTTTAATAATTTTAGTTCTTATGTTTATCCCTTTAATCCATTATCTTGTATGTGGATATCCAGTTTTCCTAGCAATAGTTGTTGAAAAGACTGTCCTTTCTCCATTGAATGGACCAGGCACTGTTGCTGAAAATCAGTTGACCATATGTGCAAAGGCAAATTCTGTATTCTCTATTCTATTCCATTGGTCTATATGTCTGTCCTTTTGCTAGTATCATACTATTTTGATTTCTGTAGCTTTATGGTAAGTTTTGAAACCAGGAAATGTAAGTCCTCCAACTTTGTGTTTCTTTTTCAAGATTATTTTGGTTATTTGCCATCCCTCGAGAATCCTAATGGGGTGTGTGTGTGTGTGTGTGTGTGTGCGCGCGCACATGTACTTTAGGATGGTTTATTTATTTTTTTTGAAAAAATGCCATTGAGTCTTTAATAGTGATTGCATTGAATCTGTATATCACTTTGGGTAGTATTAAAGTATTAAAAATACTAAGTCTTTCAATCCATAAACATGGGATGCTTTATTTATGTCTTTCTTAATTTCTTTTAGCAATGTTTTTTAGTTTTCAATGTGTTACTCTTTCAACTCCTTATATTTACCCCTAAATTTTATTCTTATTTATACTATTGTGAATGTATTGTTTTCTTAATTTATTTTTTAGATTATTCATCATTCATGCATAGAAATACAACTGATTTTGTGCCCTGAAACTTTTCTAAATTTTTTGAATTAGCTCTAACAATTTTTTTGTTGGATTTTTAGGGTCATCTACACATAAGATCATGTCACCTCTGCATAGAGATAATTTTACTTTTCCTTTCCAATATTGTTGCCTTTTACTTATTTTTTTCTTGCCTAATTTCTCTGGCTAGACCTTCTAATACTATATTGAATAGAAGTGGCAAAAGCAAGGATCCTTGTCTTGTTTCTAATTTTAAATCTTTTACCATTGAATATGGTATTAGTTATGTGTTTTTTAGATATGTATATCTGGCCTTTATCATATTGAGGAAGTGCATTCTATTTCTAGTTTCTTGAGTGCTTTTATCATGAGAGAGTGGTAATTTTGTCAAATGCTTTGTCTGCATTAATTTTGAATGGTATATCACATTGATTTTCATTCCTGGGATAAAACCCATCTAGTCATGGTGTATACTCCTTCTAATATGCTACTGAGTTCATTCTGCTAATATATATCTTTTCTTCTTTTTGCTAATATTTTATTGAAGTTTTTGCCGTAAATAGTTATCAGGGGTATTAATCTGTAATTTTCTTGTGTTGTATTTATCTGGTTTTGGTATCAGGATAATGCTGGCCACATAGATTGAGTTAGGAAGTATTCCCACCTCTTCAACTTTTAGAAGAGTTTAAGGAAGATTGGTGTTCGTTCTTTTTTAGATGGTAGATTCACCAGTGAAGTCATCTGGTCCTGGGCTTTTCCTTTTTGAGAGGTTTTTGATTACTGATTCAATTTCACTACTGTTATAGGTCTATTCAGAT